AGGAATTTATGACTCCTTTTTTGCTCTGTTTGGCTTTTCAGTCTGTGGTGAACTCCAGGCCAGCTAGACTGATTGAACTTGGGTATCTGCACTACCCTGCAGTTAGAACTGCCTACAATACAAACACTCTTATTGGACCACTGGTCTTGTACACCATCATGCCTAGGTATATCTGCACCTCTCAAACTTACAAAAGGATGAATCACCAACGGAAAGCTTCCAGAGGCTTCAGCATTTGTATAGAATGGAAAAACAAGTATTGCAAAAAAGCAGCCTCATACAAATGTTTATGTCTAATCATGTTTGCAGACCTGGATGCTAATATGAGAGTAGAAGAGTTACAAAGGATGGGATCAGAACGTTAATTGGGTATTACAGCACTCAAAACACATGAACTGTTTTGGATGAAAGACTTGAAAAGCTACTATGATGAAAAAAGAACCAAGGGCTACAACTTTTTCAAAGGGCAAGCATATTTGCTCCCTGCAACCTATTTCATCTCACCAGTTACTTGAAGAACAACTTTATACCTTTTGATAAACCTGAAGTTCTTTCTTCCTGCTCTGTAGACTGGCTTTCAGTTCATCAGCTATGCCCCAATCAGAAATGCAGTAAGCTAGGATTTCCAAACAGGCATCAAGGGGCCATTTGTCCAGACAGCGCAGGGCCAACCTACTTCTCAGTGTTGCATTTTTTACTGGGAACAAGTATTGCCAACCATCCTTATCTGTGGAGGAAACAAAGCACTAGTTTGAAACTCAGTTTCTGTAATTTGGCAAATAAAAAAAATCCTCATCCTCAGTGGATCACATCACCAAAAGAAACAGTACGGTGCTGAAAAATCTATGCAAGACTCATTCCAAGCATCAGATTCTCAGGAAGTAACCCAAGTTAGCATAGACATTTACCATCCCTACACTCCAAAAGGCACCTGCTTTCACAGGATACATCATCCATGTATGAGAATGACAGCGCCGTAAGAGATGCTCCATTAACAGTACTACGACTAATGTCTACTCATGGATTCAGCGCTCCACATAAAAATACCACCACAGATGCATTCCCGTTCTCTTGTACTAAATTGGTCAGGATTTGCACATTTGCAAAACTGAAACTACAGCATCAGAGAAAGCAAATTTAGAATTAAGGAAGGGAAGGGATCTGCTTCCGTCTTTGGACCACTACTTTAGTTTCACCTCTTGATCCAGGCTGCATACTTCACTTAAAAACAAAAACAAAACAAAAACAAAAAAAAAAAAAAAAAGAAGAGAAAAAAGCCTGACTTAATCCTTTTTTACCTTCAGCAGTTGCACAGCTCAGCACAGCATCCTTCACATTGACCAGCTCCTCCATGTCCTGACTGTACAGATCTAAGACCTTCAGAGCTCTGTCCCAATTCTTAGCAGCAAGAGCTTGTTGAAAGACTCCCATTAATACCTTAACAGCTGTGGTGGAATGCAATCCTAGGAGAACCAGAGATATGTATGTCTTGCCAGAGAAGACAGTAGCCAAACTGCTACCTTCCTCTTGCCGATTCTGAAGTGGCTCAAACATAGTAAGAAGAAATTGTTCCAATATTGGAAACTCCTTCAACAATGTCTCACACTCCCTGGAAATCTGCTCCAAACCTAAAGGCACCTCCCGTTTGCCCCGAAATTCCATCCAAGATAAACTTGATTTGGGAATTTTCTGTATATTAGATGCACTCAGACATGCCACTGTGGCCATCAGCTTTGACTGAGACTTTAGGAAGTCTAGGGAGGAGGCAGTGAGTGTATGCTGGCTCAACTCATTTACAGGAGATGAGGCCTGCGTGGAGATATCCTCAGAGGTCACTGCAGAATTGAGAATAGGTATTTCAACATCTGGCAGGCAGTGGCAGGCACACTGGTGTGCTAAGTTGTTGATGTTTGTCAGAACAGACTTCACCTGGCTGTTTTGCCTTGCATTGCACAATGACAGTGGTTCACAGCAACAGTTAACAATAACTTGCTGCACATTCAAGTTCAACTCTTTTTCAGCCAAGAGAGAGGAAACCCTGCAGGATTGAAAACAGAAACAGCTTACCCAGAACGCATAAAAGGTACTTTACAATTACATATTTTCATAGGTCTGCCAAATGCTTTGTGAAGACAAGCCCCCTAATATTCTTCACAGGGACATACTGGGGGAGAGTACATATCCTATGTTTACTCAGTATAAAAAAAACGTATACAGCACAACACTGGTAATTCAGAGCTTAGGCTGCCATTCCTTCAATGAAAAGGAACTTACTCCTCAAACATTCACTTTTACCTAAATGTAGCATACTAAAGTTCACAATTAGTGCTCATCTTTTTAAGAGCTGCTTTGTCAAATCAGACACTTTCCATGCCAGCCTAATTTAGTAATCTGTGATGGAAATACCTTAGATCATCCAGTTTACTTACTGACTAGGGCAAGGGCCATGCCTTGCTGCATTCGTAAGAAGCCCTACTGGTCTATTACATCTTATTACATTGCTAAGTTGTAAGTCCACTGCTCTGAACCATCACACATTCAATTAAAAAAATCCACATGAATGCACTCACTCTTCACAATAGACAGCAACTGTTAAAAATACAGAGCCATAATTTTCACTATTAAAAATCTTCACATTGATAGAGAAGCCACTGACTAGGCTCCTCCCTACACCCCAACCCTTGCAGTATTAAGTGATTGGCTGGTGGGACACAGCTGGCTGTACTACCTGTGCTAAGCAGCCAGAGAAGAATTTAATCCTGGCTGAGGTCTTAAGTCACCAACACCAAAACAACCTAGAGAAGTATATAATCTTAAAAGTACCAACCTGTCAGGATGAACCTGTTTCTCAAACACAAGCTGAGAGACCAGCTGAGCTGGACTCTGCTGTAACAGTATGAAAGGGTTCCCCACTTTCACTTCTGCAGATGTATCTTAAAGAGAAACCAGAACATTTATTATAATACAAACATATTAGCGGAATATACTAAACAAGTCTTATTTTATGAACACAAATTTTAAGAGCCTGAGTCTGAAACCTCTTTGACTAAATTCATAGATGTCCACATTCACACCAGTGGTAAAATCCTGAGTAGACTTCAAGGCATTTGTAATTATGATAGGCCTCTCAAACTTGGCACCACTACGCCACATTTACTACACCTAATACCAAAACAGGTACAGTGGAGACTCTTTGGCCTTTAAGAGATCTAGGTTCACAGTTTAGCCAACACTGTTTCAAACTTTAACCAAAATGTGAATTTGTGGTGAGACATATAAAATATGCAATACTGGTTTCTAAGGAGTCTCTGGATGCAGATTAGTGAGTCCATGCTCTGTCAAGTCAAAGTGACAAAAGGGAAAGGGAACTCATAGATATACAGCTACTCCTACAAAAGGAGTGAAACCCCAGCCAGTATTGCTGAAAAGCCTCTGTATTCACTACTGAGTTATGACAAGTAGCTCTGAACAGATTCTCATAAGGTTACTTTTCCCCTTTATCTTATTTTTTCCTTTATCATCTTTGATATAAAGCGAGTTCCCCAAAACTCACTCTGCCCTTAAATACTGTGCTTTTTTTTTTTTTTGCTGTGGCAGTCAGCCAATGAGGACTGAATCATGTCCATACAGAAGTTACAGTTGTTATGGTAGTGACCTTGAGCTGAACCAGCATGTCTGAAAACAGATCTTTGCCCTTTTCTTGTGGGAAGATAGTCTCTGAAATCAGTACTGTGGTATTTTACACTAGAGCAGCTGAATTAATGTCAAATTTAAAACCCAGACAAGTGGTTTTTCTCCTAGCAGATCGTATTTTCTGTTCTCCTGATAGCTTTATGTACCAATTGTGCCTTTCTTTCCATGGACCACCATCATCTGCTAATTATCTGAAAAAAAATCTGCCTAGTTACCTCTGCATAGCCTTCTACACATTCTCTTCTTATCCCTGTGGAGCAGGAGGGCACCAGTTGCCTCTAACTGAGCTGAAAAGTGCACAGCATGCTAATCCACTGGATGCAGGAGTCAATCTTGCCTTACAGACTAGTGATCAGAATTTTTGGAGGTCAAGAGTTTGTTTTGTCTAACTGAAACACAGAATCTGAGGCAGTAGTTAGCATTTATGTTCTTATTTTCCTACTGCCATCAGCTATTTTTATCTCAGCTGTGAGTGGCCTATGTGTTAAGAAATGAAATTAAAAAAGCAGCGCAATAATCAGCAAAATGAAAAGATGTGACTATGCACACATAGTAGACATGTATGGCAAGGAACCACTTTTGTACTTTCCAGAATGAGGCCAGACTACACAGTCTGGGTATCTTCACCTAGGCTCAGACCTTCTGGCAGAAATCCCTTACCTAGCTCTGTATTCAGGCTTTGTAATACAACAGCAGCCAGTCTCGTGATGTAGTCAAAGAAAGCCTTCACAAAGTTTGTCTGAGTGTTGCTCTCTGGCGTCATTTGGACATGTTGGTCAAGAGTTCGCAGCAGGAGCTGTGACTGATTCCAAACGAGGTGCTTCTCCAGCTCTGCAGGTTTGAGAGAGGCCTGCTCCACCAAGTTGCTAAGCAGGCTGCCTTTAGAGTCTGGTTTAAGAGAACAGACACACATCTAAGATTCAAGTAAGTATTAAATGTCAAAAAGGATGAGTAGGAAGAAAATAAAAGAAAAAGGCAACAGTAAGGATACACCAAATTTTCTGTAAGGTGTCAGGCTAAAATATGCTGTAAGAATTCCTTGTTAGGACTGAAGAAAAATAGGACAAACAATAACCTCAGCTCTACTCATGAATATTTTCCTTTCATCTCTGTCAAGTTCACAATTTCAGCTCTGAAAACAAGTGCTCAGAATATAAGAATTACAAATAAAATTTACACTTTGCATTTACAATTTGAAAAAAAAATATTTATGCATTTGTCAAAGAGCATTACAACTAGATTTAGAGTTGCTTGGACAGGAAAAAAAAAAAGCTTAGATCCATTTGTCAGTCTTCACAATCACACAAGTAACTCACCCACAGAACGTTCAACATGTGTCAGTGCTTTTAGGATTTGATCCAGATTTTGTGATAAAACAATTTCAGTAGTAATACTTTCTTCAGTCAAGGCAGGGTAGCAAGCTTGCAGAAGGTTTACAATACTGCATCGAAAATGACTCCCTATTTTCTCATCTGAGACCTCTACAAAGAGGGAGAAAGAAACAGCAACTATAACAAAGACAGAAATATTTTTGCACAGAAAAAGCCCCACAGAACCAACACTGGTTAACAATACAATTAGCTTGCCAAATTCAAAGTGTTTCCTTTTATTCAGAATTGAGCTTGGATCTTGTCCCCCCACTTCTTTTTTGCTCTAAATACTAACCTAAAAACCGGAAAGTTCAAATTTCCATTGCAACAGAGGACAAGAACCGGATTTAAGCACATTTCAACAGAGTATCTTAACAGAAAAGCATACTACCTGGCTTGGATTGTCCTTGAGATGTGCAGGAATAGTTGAGAATTTTACTTATTTGCTGGAGAACTGCTGGGAAACCCTTTACACCTTCAGAGCACAGTGAAACAAAGTCAGGATGGTGGCCTGGAAAAGTCATTGTGCAAAAGGGGACAAAATAAAAGTCAGGAGTGGAAAAAGGAGAAACTAACATAAAAAGTACAACATGAGAGTTAGTTAAGACTCAGGTGTTAGCACAAACAACACGCGACAGATAGGCACTTTCTGCTCCCAGGCCCAAGTTAAGAAACACAAAAATCAAAAGCCTACCCCGAGTTTCAAGGCTGTTGTACAGTCTTCTTTCTGCTGTTTCCAAAAGCTGTTTGCATGTCTTCCAAAGACGGCACTGAGTACAAGCCAGGTCAAATGCTGCCATTGCTGAAGGACTGAGGTCTTCCAGCACTTCCCACAGAGGATCAGTATGCTCCAGCTGGATATTTTTGATCCAGAAATTTTCTTGGAGAGTAGGGGCAAGACTTCCAGAAGTTGCAAGCAATTTATCAGTAACATCCGAGATCGAATAAAATACCATACCTACATGCATCAGTAAAACACACAATCACTGACTAAATATGCTGTGTGTCTCAGATCCTGACATAGATGATTATTCTCTTAATCCTTTCGGGAAACAATTAGATAGGTGACCTGCATCACAGACCAATTACTGCAGAATGGATAAAACTAACCGGGCATCAAAAGCAAATTTCAGCATTCATAGTCTTCATTTAACTCAAAGAACCACTACTTACTCTTCTGAACAATTGCTGCACTTATTATGACAGTATTCAAATTACTTTTGAATTCCTATTTTCTATTCCTATTTGCTACCTCTCCCTCACCTTTTATGATAAAAAACTCAAACCCCCCAGTCCTTACCAGCTGCTGCTGCATTCCCAATAGCTTGCAGTGTCGAACGGCCACTGCCAGATTTCCTGATGCCTCCAGTGCCATCTGATGCTTGATTCTCAATATTGTGCTCCACTCTTGCCATTTCTTGTACCGCCTCTTGGTAGCGCTCCATGAAGACCAATTCACCGTAGCAAGGTGAAGTATCCAGATTAAACATCAAAGCCACCTTTCAAAAATAGCAATAGATGTAATTACAAAGCATGTCAACAGAACTTTTGAAAGGTCAAAGAACTTTTGGGGTTTTTAGAAGAGATGAAAGAATAAAATAAAACAGATACTTCAACTGAAAAAAAGCCCCCCCAGACACAGAAGGCTGAAATGGTTGGGTTTTTTCTAGACGGTTTTAAATGCCTGAAAAATCAGGACCTTAGAGAAAATTTTCAACTATTTTTATAAAGCTCAGCTATTATTTGTTGCAGGGCTAGAGCTGAATTAATCTTTGTAAACCACACCTTGCAGAATAACCCTTTATCAAGTTGGGCCTCCAAAGTAAACTACTTTAAGCAAATTCTTATTCAGCAAGGAATTAAGCTAGAAATTTAAACACAGAGTAGGTAAGCACATCTGTGCAAGTTCCTATTATCAAGCCAACAACAGAACACAAACCAAGCTTGAATTCATCATCAGTGATACTGAAATTCAAAGTAATGAAACAAACCAAAATGCCTCTTTTGGCCCTGTAAGCAGAGATTAAGTGGCATGCTTGACATCAAACAGAACTAATGAGTTGAGCAGTGACCTGCTGCTAATGTAATGCTTAAATGATACTAATTGCTCTGATATCACTATCAAACTCAGCCAGGTCACTGCTTTTTGCAGAGGATCAAATCACTGGTGGACCTCAACGTATTTTTTTCAGAGCATAAGCCCAAAAGCCCCTTAGAGAAAGGTATGCAGAGCTGTGAGAGAGCAAAGAACTATGAGCCTCCGGACTGTCAGCTTCAAGTCTTTCTGCCTGTTTTCAGTACCATGAATTCAGCCTCAAAACATACCTCCTTAAAATAAATGTAATCACCACTTTGGCTCTGCTTTGGGTAAGGAATACATTTGCATGTTCCTGCCGAGCTTATAAGTGGCAGTGTCATGGGTTTTATTCATTGACTGAAGTAAGAAGTACTTAGATTCTGCTTCCTCATGAGTCTTCATATGATCTTCATTCAGCTGAAACACTAAGCTTGGCAAGCTCTCAAACATTTTCATGCCTTGAGAACCCAGGCTTAGAGAAAACATTTTTATATAACAAGGAATAAAACCACCCCAGCATTCTTGGGATCTTGGTTTGGGATATCTCTGATCTTCCACTTGACTTCTGAAGTGACCCTTTCACTTGGAATGCAGATGCTTCAGCCCTATGCTTCCCAATACAGAAGTAGCAGGAATTTCACCTGCTATCACGACCACAAATATCAATAGCAAATTACATTTTTAATTGCACAAAATACATGCAACTCCTTTACCTGATGGGCTTCTACGAAATTTCCTCTCAAAACACAAGACACTAACAGTGATTCTGGTGGGGAAAGCATCATAGGAATGAGGGGGTTTTGCTGCTGTCGTCTCACCCTGCTTTCCAAATCACTCAAGCCAGACACATTACTGGTGCTTCCCTCTGCAAGACAACAGAATTAATCAGTATACTATTATGGAAAAAAACATTTCACTAGATAACAGCCAAATATCAGATAGTTATATATTTAACACAAAGATACAGGAGCAAAGTTCAAGGAAGTATTAGGGTAGAGGTCAACATAAATATCTTGTTATAAATTCTTGCAATATTTCACTACTTGGTTAGAACTTTCAGTTTGCACCTCATCCAAATATAACACTGTTTAGCAGCTACATAATGTGCACGCAATGCTAGGGCACTGGTTCAATAGGGATGAAGGGAGAAGTCTTAACTATTGGACTTGTTAAATCAGTTTAACATGCCTAAGAATGTTTTAGGTTATATGACTAACAGTCTGTTAGCTTTTGTGACTGTTGCATCTCAGTGTTTTGCATAGTTTCCTGAAAGCCAAAAATATCAAGAAAAATCTAATTTTCTTATTCCAGAAGACATATATTAATCTAATTAGAAAAAAAGTCAGCCCATAAATGGGAGCTCTGAGAAGTGAAGAGTTCTAATCCTGTTCTACATGAGCAGTAATTCACGTTAACTGATCAAGCAAATACTTCATCATGCACACTGACAAGACAAACAAATACTACTTTTGTGGCTTAATACCTGAAGTACTGGTGCTTAGCTCACTACTTGTACTTTCTAATGATGGGCTGGAAGTTCCCTCTTTCCCATCTAAAACAGAAACAAATAAAACCCAATATATTAAATGCACTCTTCCTAGACAAGGTGATTAAAACTTACTGCGAATAACAGGCCAGGCAACCATAAGAGATCTTCAAGAGTGTCTCACAATGAGCCATCACTGATGTCTATGACAAACACAAAACCTCCTGATTTGAAGAAAATGTTAGGCAAGAAACTATGTTAGGGTGGCCCATCAGCGACTCATGTGAGATGCTTTAAAGCTTCTTAGTTTGTAACATCCCACTCCAAAACCAGAGGTACCTTTTAAAGGCTAAGTAGAAAAAGGGTGAGGAACCCATCATTCTCCTAAGGCTGTCAATTTAAGCCACAGATTCCTGTAGATTCACATCCTAGATACTATTGTGATAGGGATGAAAATCCCTATCCAATGACCAAACAGTCATTGGATATAATGGAGAAAGGGAAGAATTGGTAGCTGCAAAGTTCTCCCCTGCCCCAAATCAGACTATGTATGAAAGAAGTTATTTTCTAACCTGAATTTAAAATTAATTATCTTTTAGTTGTGCAGGTGAACTTTAGGAAAACAACCTCAATCCAAGTGGAACTTGACTAAGACATTTCAAATCAGCTAGAAAACTAAAGAAAATAAACTTAGTTCTCTACGCCTAGTCCATTAAATCTAATTGCATTCAGCTATGAGCTCAGCAAAATTACGCACATTTCAGAGATGTTTTCTCCCAGTTACTTTTTCAACCCACCTGCCTTATACCTTTGAGATCTACTTCGTTTCTTAAAGCTGGAACACCTGGTTAAAGAGCAGTATCTCCTGGAACTTGCAAGCTGATGTTCTGTGAAGCATTTAAGCAAAAACATTACCAAGTAGCTGGAAAGGACATCAACAGTTACATGTCTAAATTAAAGAATCTATCAGCACATTTACATAGGTAGAACTATGATGGCAAATTTCCAAAGGAAACACAGCTAATCTCAGCTAAGAGCTCTTTTGCAATGAAGTTGAAACTATTGCCTTGAAGTAATTTTGATGCAATTTGTCTTTCACATCCACATCCAATGTTGCTTGGAATGTACTATACCTTCTACACATCCCTGATAAAAACTAAGGGTTTTTTTCCAACCTAAATGATTCCATGATTCTAACAATACAGAAAAGTAGGTACATAAACAGCTAGAAACAGGGTAAAAAGAATAAGAATTAAAATAGTAAAAGAGAGTTTGATTTGTCATTAAGGTTTTGCTGAAATTACTGAGTTTTTCAATATATGGTAGTATGAACCCTGACTCGGTCAACAGTTCTGGAAGCAAGCAACTAAGGGGGGGTGTCAGCCCTTGAAACAAAAAAATCCAAGAGATATGCAATGTTAATAAAAGCCACCTTTCCCTGAAAGATGTTCACCAAATAATTGTCATAATTTGTCAGCAGTCAGATGTACAGAAGCCAAATGTCAGACTCAAAAGTACAGAATCCCACAGAAAGCTGCTGCCTGTCCAAGAGAAATACTGAGGGCTGCCTACTCAAACAGAAGTCCCAGCACATCCCCTCCTTTACAGGGGAAGACTTGAGAAACAGTTGAATATGAGTTTGGAAACCTGGAACATTTAAGGTCCATACTGCCCACAGTCTTTCCTGGGACACAGACTTTGCATGGTCCAAGATACAAAATAAGCCACACTATGACACAAGCAGAAATCTGATAGTAGCAGGGCTGACAATATGGAAGAAGGTGGGAAATAGGCTCCTGAGTGTGTTGTTATAGCTACTCCTGAGGAGTCGTCTGCACCCCAATATAATCCAACTTCCTCTTCCTAACATGCTTCCAGAGTAGGCTAAATCAACACTTCATGAATGAAATGAGTCTATCTGGCTTGCATTGTATCACACACACCACCATGTCCCTTTATAACATTGCACTGTCAATACAACTTGTAACAAAAGAACAGGAGAAAGACAAACTGAAGCAGTGTGTCCACAAAGGGGAAGCAGAAAAGAAAACCCAAACTCTCTGATTAGAATAGAGATTACTCCTACTGGGGAATGGTGCAAGAATGAGGTGATCTTTAACTAGATCACCCTCCTAGTATCTGCCAAAATGTGCTCAGGGAATTTCATCCAGACTACTGCCTGGGCAGCTGCCTGGTTTCAGCTGGGACACAGTTAATTTTCTTCCTGGTCACTAGTACAGAGTGAGCAGCTGTGTGGTACTTAGTTGCCATCTGGGGTTAAATCAGGACACAAAACAGCGTGGATGTATCAGGAAGCGCTAAATACGAAGCTTACCTGCACTTCTGTTACTCATCACCACCTTGTATCGCCAGTGAGCTTCAGAAAGATATTTGGAAAACTGTAACACGCGACTTCCAAAACTATCTCTGTTTGCAGAAAGATTCAGGCACTCTACAAGCTCCAGGTCTTCACGAAGTACATTACTAGAGTCCCATGGGAGAGAACTCTGAATTTCTTCCAGATGGTTGAGAAGCAACGTGAGGAAAGCATCCATGGCCACATCATCCGCTAAAAATCCAGTTACACCACTTGTGAAGTGTTTCAGATCCAGGTAGTTCAGCCTAGAGGTTTCACAGCTTTGGCCACCTAACGTCAAGTCATGAAGATCTTGGAGGTCCATGTGAACTGTCTGAGCAGCCAGAACTTGCCTCTCTGATTTCTTTTCAGCCTCTATTAGGCGCTGTGGACTTTCTGAGGTGGAAGAATGCCGACTAACATTGCCTTCTACACTCACAGTAGTACTCTTTTTCTCAAGATCATCATCTTCTGCATAGTCCTCAGGTAAAAGAGTCTCAGTGTGAAGGTCGCTGTAGGAAACAAAAAGCAAGGAGAAGATGTTCTCCAAAACCTCCAGGCGCAGAGGAGCAGGAATGCTCCTTAAGAACTGCTGACACTTTGCAAGGTACTGGGGAAATACTGAAGAGCAATCTGTAAAATCAAAGACAAAAATAAGGAACATTTACAACATTTTTCAGGAGTTCCTTCCTCCAACCTCTGCCCTTTAAGAAAATCCTAGAAGAGAGAACTCTCCCCATGGCTCAGAGCCAATCATTGCTCCACAGATCAATGGCCAGCATCTTACATTATAAAATGTAGTGTGTTTCCTCTCTATCAGTAATGCCAATTATCAACTTGTGCAGTGATGTGCGAACTCAGATTACACCAATTTTAGTGATTAAATCTGGTTTACCTCTGGGAAATCATAAGCTCTTACAAAAGCATCCCTGCTACTACCATCCTATATCTAATATCACCTTCTTTTTGCACTGTATTTCTGATAAAATTACATTAAATGTTTTGGAACAAGGCATGGAGCTTATTCATAGAATCATAGAATAGTTAGGGTTGGAAAGGACCCTAAGATCATCTAGTTTCAACACCCCTGCCACAAGCAGGGACACCTCCTACTAGACAATACTGCTCAAGGCTCTCTCCAACCTGTCCCTGCACTCCAGGGTTGGAGCATTCACAACTTCCTTGGGCAACCTATTCCAGTGCCTCACCACCCTCACTGTGAAGAACTTCTTCCTTATATCTAATCTAAACTTCCCCTGTTTAAGTTTAAACCCATTACCCCTTGTCCTACCACTACAGTCCCTAACAAAGAGTCCCTCCTCAGCATCCTTGTAGGCCCCCCTTCAGACACTGGAAGGCTGCTATGAGGTCTCCATGCAGCCTTCTCTTCTCCAGGCTGAACAACCCCAACTTTCTCAGCCTATCCTCATACAGGAGGTGCTCCAGTCCTCTTATCATCCTCATAGCCCTCCTCTGGACTTGCTCCAGCAGCTCCATGTCCTTCTTATGTTGAGGACACCAGAACTGTACACAATACTTCAAGTATTCATATCTATTATCATTAAAAGTAACAACACCTCAAAGAAATGACACTATACTTGTTTGCAAAGCATTCATACCCACTGAATAAAAACACCGTACGTACGCAGGATGCAATACTATCCCAGTAAGAATTCAGAGTTCAGCAAATGGAAAAGCACAAGCTACTGAACCTGAGATAAGTGATGAATCACCTGCTGGTTCTCCAGAAGTTTCATCCTCAGGGATATCACCAAGATGGCTGCGTACACAATCTTTGCACTTGGAATGCTTATGTGAATTCACACAGAGAGCATAAACAGCATACTTCATGGCACAAAATGCTCGAAAGAGTGCCAGATTGCGCTGCTGACTCAGGGTGCTAGGGAATGTTGCCACTGCATAGGGAAATAAAGGTGGTGAGAGGGTAGAAAACAAGTTAGTTTTCTCCTGCAGTTCCCACGCAGCAGTATTTATCCTTTAGACTTTAGAAGTCTTTCCTCCCCTATGGCACCTCCGCCTCCCTCTCTCTCACCCTTACCTCACAACATTTGATACAAAACAAAACACAACAGATATGCACAGAAACTCCAGGTCTGGATCCCTTTCTGAAAGGGAAATTTTCTGTGAATTTGGGTTACAGGAGCTGGAGATGGCACAGAACAATCAAATCCTGCTCACGATGAGTCTCATTAGAGGTATGTATTAAGCTACACTGATGTATTCACAATACAAGGACAGATCCTGTCTCTTTCCAGCATCTTAGAATTTTGTGTTCTATCACATAGTAGATAAGTAGGGAAGATAGTGCAGACTGGCTTACTGACCACAGTGAGCACAGAGTACCACCTCTACAGACTTTTACTAATAAATACTCGCAGTTGATTCTATGCACAATGGCTGGCCATTGATTAAACAAAAAGTACAGCCCCACAGTTTCCCTCACACACTTATGATAAAGGCAACTTAGAGAAGCACTAGACCCCCTCCTTTCCCCTTTTGCTTTTTTTTGTTTCCTGAGGAAAGAAGGTGTCACATGCCAGGGACATGATCCCTTCTTAGTACAACAAAACATCAGAGCTGCAAATTACATACAAGTCATGTGATCATCACCTTCACTCAGGAAGGCAATATAGAGTCATATATTCTGTTATGCTGAGTTTAGATGAATTATCCAACTACTGTACAAAGGTTAAAAACCCTCAACAAACAAGCAAACCAAGCCAAACCAACAAAACCCCAATGTTAAATTAGGTTGTTTGAATCCACTATCCTATATTCTTATGCAAGGGGAAGATTGTCCCTCTGCCTACTGTCATGCAAGGGAAGCATCAGCCAAGGTTTTTTTAAACCAAACACTGGTTTGATGTACTGATAATGTCCTCACACAAACTCTGGGACTGAACAGTATTACCTAGAAAGTCTTTCAGCATTGTCCTCCAGAAGGCGTGGGCATGATTTCAAAGAAAAGCACCAGCTTGAACTGTTCTAAAAACTACAGAGCAGCCAAGACAAAAGCCCTGAGAGCACAAACAATTTGAAACCAATTATTCCCTTTCACTGCAATTCTAAACAAAGACAGTGGTGGAAACTATTGTGTAGACAGCACAGAACTGAAGAAACATCCAAGTATGAATCTTTTGCAGAACCCACGTGGCCACAGAAATGCCATAATTCACCAACAGCCCTACACTAATACATACCACCCAAAAAGCTCTCAATACCAGTGTCTTAAGAGGACTTCAGGTATGTGAAGCCAGAGATAAAATAAATACAGTCCTCTTAAAGCTAGCTGGAGACACTTCAAGATACACATAGGTAATCAAATGCAAGTATAACACACTTTTGCCTCCCATGTGGAAAGACTTGGATGCAGTGAGTCTGTGCCAGTACCCACGTCTAAAGCAACCATTTTCCCTTCACTAGTAATGAAGAAATATCCTTCAGCTACAAGCACTCTTTTTTCCTATGCCAGATATATTAGTTCCTTATTCTTGAATTCTATCCATCATGAAGAAATTTCTGCCCATCATTTCTTTTGTTAGTGTGGGTGATCAAAGCTAATGTTACACACTGATCTGAAGGATGCCTGAACATAACTGTTTACAATACCACTACTTCAGTTTCACTACTGTAGCCAACAAATATGTGAGAGAGAAGGGGAAGTAGGTGGGGTGAATGTAGAAAAAGGTCTGTTAACACTACAAAGTCAGACAAATCAAAATGTCATGATTCCTCTCCTTCCCTTAAGATTCAAAATAGATTATTTTAAAGGAGATTCTATTAATCTGTGTTTATAGAATTATCTGAATTTTACAATAATCACTAGACTGAAAAGAAAGGGAGGACTTGTCTTCCATTAACTAGTTCTGTAAATTAAAGTGATCTGAAAATAGAAAAGAAACCACAGATAGAGTTCTTTCGCTATAGTCATGCAGCTCCCAGAAGATATGATGGGATTGCCTCTTCCTGTTTTTGAAAGGTTTTGACAGAATATAAGCAGAAAAGAATTAAAATGCAAGAACTAATTTAAAAAACCCAACATCAGCAACTACAAAACTACAGAAAGCAGGACAGTGAAATCAGAGATCTATATAGAGTATCAATTATTATGTCTTTTAAGCCTATTCAAGACAACTGCCACGATAATGTTAACAACAAAAATTGTAAACTAGGACTGGAAGCCAACATATTAACAACATGATACTGGAGGGAGAAAAAACTGCTTTCCACTAAGCAACCTGGAAAATCTGTGCAAGATCCATCACTGAGAGCTTTCCACACAGCTCAGGTTGAAATTACCTATATACAAATCCCCATCCATAGAAAGAATAAGGCACAAAAAATTGCAGCTTCTTAGGTTCTAACACATACAGGAAGACTGAGTTTCTGTATCGTTATTAAGAGGCTCTATCAGAAGAGTGTTAAAATAGCAGCTGTACCTGGACATCAGCTGCAATCAAAAGAGTGTAGAAAGGGGTCATTTCTAAGTGAACTAACATGTTTAGTAAACTCAGGTATTCTAGGCACCAAACTGGAACACAGGAAGATAAGTGAAGTGAGGCAACAAGGATGTAAACACAGCCTGTAGGTAAGACTTACTGACTTTAATATGAAAGTAGATTTGGTAAAGCTTAGTATTATATTAGTAATAGTATAATACTGGTTATAGTATAAGATATTGTCAATTTCATTTGGTTTCACCCTTTGATTTTAAAATAAGGGCACAGATAGCTAAGGGTATTATACAGTATATAAGTTACAATGAGTAGCACGTATTATAAGCATGTGCAAAAATCTTGTTACCACTTTGAATAAACTCTTTCAGACATCTGTCCTTGTGAGATTAAAGAGATCTCACAATTCCTTCTTGGGAGACAATTTACTTCACAAAAGGATTCTAAAATGATTTCCACATGCTTTCTAGTATTCTTCTATGAAACAGCTGATAAGCGGTATCATCCTTATTTACAGAAGTAGGACAAAAGAACAGATTCCTCCTGGTGTAAACAGTGAGCAGCACATACTTGATGGATCATGTGTTTTCTGTGTTCTCCTGACCCTACACATTTACCCTGCATCTGGTGGTCTCTAGCCGGAACTTTTTGAAGCAGCTCAATAACATCGTCTTCATTCAGTGCCAGAAGATTAGAGAGATGATGAAGAGAGTACACTGCAGTGTGGCAATCCAGACTGTGCAAGTGTTGCAAAAGAACCTTCCTTGGGATAGTAATACTGCAAGAGAGAACAAACGAAAAAGTGGCATAAACAGATTTAGATCTCTCAGACATGTTTAAAAACGTTATCTCCCACTCTAATTCTGATTCAACCAAACTACTGCAATTAAAAGAAAAACCAATAGTATTGCCCATGAAGTAATTTCAAGAGCATGTGATACAGAGTCATGAGGAGATGATCAACCAAGATTCACAGAAAAGAACATATTCTCTAGTTGCGTACATAAATTGACTAATAGGCAGATTTGGCAAGACAGTTTGGAAAAAGTCCTACCTGTTTTGCTGTATGCACCATTCAAGAACTTCCACCTGGGCCCACAGCCCATCACAGAAGTCTTTCAGTACCAAATCATTGCACAGATCCTACAAGAAAAGACAAATAAAAGAACTCCTTTACAACAAATCTCCTTTACAGCAGAACCAACCTGTATGGCATACGGGATGTTCATAAGACTTCTTTATCCAGATGGTAACTTTCAAGTACAGAAAACTGCTGGTTTTATTACAAAGCCAGCAAGGAAGGGCTATTCTGAAGAAGCATCAAGATCAGTCAGCCTCCATGTGACACGAATACAGACCATGGAAAGGTAACTACAGCCCTTTTCAAGGTTAGCTTTCAAAATGCAAATTAACACTTCTTAGTAACAGTGTAAGACACTAACCTCAAAAACTAATCAGGTACTAAACCAGATAATATGCTGGGTAGCAGACAGTTATTCTCCTTTACCATGTGCTTTTCTACTACGGACACTTGCCTGTTAAATCAGATCCAAGACTTCAACTTTGCAAAGGCTATTGAATAGATCTTTAGTCTATTACCAATAAATGGTAACTCCCTTAAGGCAATCCCAGCCTAGATCTGCCCCAATGACCCAGCAGCACAAGGCTCCCTCTCTCCCCACCTCTGTTCTCTATGCCACTTGCCTGCAGGCAGACATCATTGGAGTTAGAATTCTCTCTGTTCTTCAAAGATGAAAACTCCACCCAAACAAGGCCAATCTTGCAGTCATAGCTCTTGACATTTATCATTTAATTTTGAGAATGCATATGGGAAATTCAGCTACCCTGCTACTCAACTCAGGTTAATTGTGACCAGAGTTAGTCACTCACTATCCAGGGATGATTCACTGGATGAAATGTCCCTCAGCTCTTTTCAAAACCAATCAACAACCATTGTTGTCTTTCTCATGTTAACAGCAAAGGCTGAAAAGCTTAGGCAAGATAAACTTTCAGAATCTTCTAGGCAATCATAATCCCTTCACAGCTGAGGAGTAAGAAGAAAGGCAAGTGTCCAATAACGTTACCTACACTCAACTGTAACACCTTAGCTTTTTTAATTCCGTTTGGACAAAGATTAATATTCTCACTGGAAACCCCCTTGTTCTAATTATTTTTGTATTTGCAAGCAAATTGCATTATCTGGACTCAGACTTGCATACTGCTACTTGCTTTCTGCTGATTTACCCGTGTTTTGTGAAGAGTCCACAGCAATGCTTTTGCAGATTCCACGCTTTGACAATGTGTCCATCCTAGCAATACCAAGAGGCGACTAAGGGGGTTGAATTCTCTCCTCAATAAGCTGTTCAGGCCTGAGTAGTCTTCTCTCTTCAGCAAAGTTAATGCAGTCACCTACAAACCAAAATGAAGTAGAATTTATCTTTCCAAAATGCAGAGACTGATAATGCCTGCCAGGTTATGTAAGCCAGTAGCCATCTCCATATTATTTCACTTCACTAAAAAAAATGCAGTTCCACATCTGGAATGTCCCTAAACTTGTATTTTCCAAGCCACCAGGTTACTCTTCAGTAAAACTGTCACGAGGCAAAAAACCTCATTTCAAATGCTTACTACAGAGCCAACTCACACTCCCTCACTACATTCTCTTTACATTCTTTATATTGGTCATGTCTCTGTCAAGGGCATTATGTAATAAACTTGAACAAGCATGTTGCTTACAAGTGGAAATACATTCAGCCCTAAAAACTTGCACTTTAACAGCAACCACCTACCTGTATTGTTTCTTCTATGAAAATACATTCAAATAAATTATTTCATACCTGAGTATTTTTCACCAGGTTTTCAAGCTCTTTAAAACATAAATTTCACCACGCAAACTAGTCTCACTGCCCCAAGTTTACCAGAATCAGAAAAGCAAAGCAACGAGTTCAAGGTCATGGGGTAAATCAAGTGGCATATCAAATAAATTACAAGCAGAACACAAGCATCTCTCAAAGCCTGAAGATCTAATCTTCAGTCTGCATGTAAATAAGCTTTTCTAAAAATCTTACTGAATGTTTTGAGCTCATCACACAGATAAAACAGGGGAGTTATCACCAGTTAACCTCCTTGTTCCTCTAAGTTATGACCCCTAGTAAATACTATTTGAATACAAAATGTTTCTGTGCACCACCAAGACAGGTTCATTAGCCTCCACTGAGTTTCCTGCTTAATGATTTTATGGCCATACCAGAATCTGTTCCAGAAAGTGCTTGCTGCTGCTCAAGCAGTAGAAATAGGCTGTCTTCCAAGAAGTCTCTTTGGGATCTGAGAACAAACTCATCATGGCTCGCTCTGTATCCAGCTGCTCAGATGAACCTAAAAACCATCACAACAACATTTCCTTCTAGTACAGAGGGAGGCCTTTGAAAGAAGCATAATTGCTGTTAAATTAAACTGAGAAACACTCAACATTTCCTCCAATGTTAACCAACTGTTACATGTTAACAGTTAAGACTCTCAGATATTATTACTGAGCCAAGTAGAGAAATTTCATAGAAACTAAACAAGTCAGGTAGGAAAACAGGAAACTGTACGAACAGTCATTACCATAGCAAGAGCCTGTTCAGCATACAGGTGGTTTGCATCAGTTCAGGTCATTTCTTTCTCTAGTTGTATGCTTCTTATTTGTTGTATGAACTGTCACTTGTGCTCTGAGACACTATGCTGCTATGCAGGGCCTCAGACTTGTCCAGCACAGGAATTTCTCGGATCTGTGCAAAGTGAGAACCGATCTACTCCCAGTGAGTGTGAAGGAGGTATCCATACCTCCATTTCTCTTCCCTCATGTGGAAGTACTAATGGTAGTTATTATCAGAAATGCCAGTCTCCCACACCAGCCTGAACTTCCTTTCAGCAATGCCTGAATGAAGAGAGGAAAGAGGACACAAACCCCACCAATTTACACCTCATTGTAGAGGGCAGGCATTCTAGCTTTTCCCTCCTTGCATGCTCACCTGCCACTTTCCTGACAAGAGCATGGGCACCACCTGCCATTCAGCTTCAACTGAGATCCTCAAGTAAATACACCAGACACAGGGAGCTAGACAGAAGCTGTGAAGTTATAGATGATATGAAAACAGCAGCTGGGCTCTGGCAAGTGAGCAGGTAATCAAACTGCATCTTCTTTACAGCTGTGCTATTGGGCCACTCCATACCTCCTTACACTTCTAGAAGTTTTGTTTTCCAGTATTAACGGGTTTGAACATTTGGGGATTACTGAGGTAACTGAACTGTTATTGGCCTGCAGTAGAACATCCTCCAAGACAGATGACCTCAAGCTGGAGGTGAACCAATAAAAACTTTATATAGAGAGAGTCAATTTTTTAGTTACAAGCAACATCTTAAGCAGGAGAAATGCTGAGCAAATTAAGATAAAGGACAACAAAGGGTGGTAAAGGAAATCCTCACAAAAGAAGGCTTAAGCAAGAACACTGCCTGACTTCTTCACAACTTGCCTGTTTAATGTTTCAAAGGCTTTGTTAAGCAGAAATTAAAACAAAGCAAGAAGATGAACAAACCTTTTTCCATTGATTTTGACACCAAAAATTTTTCTCTTGTTCTTTCTATGAGAACACTGCTATACAGGCTTAACAGGCCATGGCTCTGTTTCCTCAGCATACAGCTTAGTAGCTTCTCCTCCCTCAGCGGGCTTCCCTCAGCCCAGCATACATCCAAGAGCTCCATGAAAAGGTGTCGTGTCTCATCTGCCTGTTGCTCCACATCAAAAGTCACTATGCTAAGAGCAGCATAAATTGTATCTACTAGTTCTCTTTGATCTAATTCTGCTGACATTTCAGAACTGCACTGGAGCCTCTGCAGAGATTTCAAGGAGTCATGAAGAAATTCGACAAAGACGTTTTGCAGTGAGTAATATTGCTGGAGGGAGGAGCTGTGTGTGCCTCCTTCCTCCTGAAAGAACTCCAGCAGGGCTTTTGCCCTCTGGGGAGCCCTCAGCAAAAGCTTCCGGAGAGCTGAAACAACATCCAAACTGAATCTGTGAGAACAGTCATCTCTTCTTCTCCCATCTGTGATGTGCTTGTTCTGGGTGTACTCAAATGCTTCAAACAGTTCCTGGTAGGGAAACAATAAAAGAGTAAGCTTTTCAGACTCCATGAAAAATATTAAATTATTTAAAAAAATAGGAGAAAGTTGAAAGCGAGAAGATAAACCAATTTGGAAACATCATATAACCGAGGAAAGCCACCTTATCCAATATGCCTGAATACATAACAAAATATAAAGAATCTTATATTATACAACTACATTATATGGGCCATGTGCTCATAAGCAAGTCACCTTGGCTCACAAGCAGCTCCTATGGGATGGCTGAAGCACTACCTTATTCTACCTCTTAGCAATGTACTGATGTGACTGTATCTTCATAAGTCAGTAAGAGCACAATTGATTAGTGTCCAGTCTTTCCTTTTCAATCCTACTTTTCCAGATTCATACCATCTATCTACTTACTGCATCACCTTCAACAATGCTAATTTTTCAAACTTGGTTAAAACAGATTCAGAAGCAATCTCATAGACTTCTTTCTTAAGCAACAATCATTCTTCTTGCTAACAGAAGCAAATCTACAATTCCAGAGCTAGGAAGGGGAAAACAAACAACCAAAAAAACCCCAATTAGCTCTCCCAGCAAGGGGTGAGAAGGTGAGGGACAACCCAGTTGAACAGCACCTAAATAGCAGTTGTGGCACTTCTAGAACTAGGTAAGTGCTGGTTTTGGCTGGAACAGACAACTTCAGGAATATGGATGGGAGATGTGATTAGTGTACACAAAAATTACCATATTAGCAGTAGAAGACAAGTCCACAACATCCTTTTCTTTATTTGTTGGACCAAAACATAGCTCTACCTACTAATATGCCTCTGACACTAATTGTGACAAAGAGATTGCTGAATCTCTTATTTCTGTGCAAAACTACAGACAATGGTGGAATCTTTCCTGACCTTAGAGGTTAGATGGTAATGCACATAGCCTTCGGTAGTCATTAATAGACTTCAAGTAGATTTATTTTAACCAACTGTCAAGTTTACCTTGCTTGTTTTCAGCCTGTAATTGTTAATTCTGTATTCTTAAGAGAAATATTGAACACTTTTCCCTTCTTTTGAGAGTTAAAACCTGTAAGACTAGAAGCAACATCTGAGGACATTCCACATACCATGTCACATCTAATTCTGTTGTAACCGATGCCAAATTAGGACAGTTCTGCAGTTAGTAATTCTCTTGATTTTCTGCTCTATACTTGCTTTTGATACTAATCCATCTTTGTGTATTTCCATATATTTCTCAAATAAATCAGTCTGCGTATATTAATAAATTACGGAAAAATGGGACCTTGACCTCAGAGTATACATCATACCAATTACCAAATGATGTCAGCACTAACACTACAGCATCCAAAAACTTCCAGAAAGAGGGGAAAGGAGTGCATAGAAGGTGAAAATTAAGATCTCAGAAGGAAGAAGAAGAAGAAAATAGACATACTTGTAAAATGTGCTTGTTGACTATGGTTCATTTTGGCTCACAGTGGGTTTTAACTTTACGATTACTAAAGGTGCCTATAGATATAAGTCTGTGGCACGTAGTTGCAGTAAGAACTGAAGTATGTTAGAAAGATCACACAGAAAAGCTTGTTCCTTGCCTGCCTACAGCCTCCTCTCTAGCCAGAGAAAGTGCTTGCAAGCACATTGGATTAGCTTCAGAAAGGGATCTGAATTACAGCCTCTTTCAGCTACCTAGAAGATTAATAACACATTAGCACTTCAAGCAGTTAAGTTAGCAGGAAGCATTAACTTTGATCCCCAAACCTGATAAAGTTGGACATTCTGCATAACTAACAAGAAGAAGTAGGGCATACTAAGTAGCTCACCTTTAGGACTTCCTCAGAGACATCTTCCTGTAGTTCTTCCAAGAACAATAAAAATTCAGTTTCTCTCTGAAGAAAAACTGGAACAGTTTTCTGAAACACCAAAAGAGAAACGAAAGACATTAGTCAATAAAACTTTTATTTATTTACATTATCATATAAACCCAATCTATTTTCATTAACATTTTGAACTATCTCTCTGCAGATACCTAATTCTCAGTTAAAAGCCATTCCACAATTACGTTCTGCTCCCACACCAGTGGATTCCATTTATCTATATATTTGCAAACAGAGACAAGTGTCACTTTGTCAGGAATTGCAATGCCATCAATTTGAGGATCTTTCCTCAGAAGGTAAAGAAAAAATTCACGTTTATGTAGAGACATGGACAAATGAACTTTAAAAAAAAAAAAAAAAAGTATGATCACACATCCCAGTGTACCAATTAAAAAAAAAACAAAACAAAAAGGAAGACAGACTAGTTTCTCCTTTAGTCATGACACACACTGCACCTGTCTGAAAACAGCAATACAAACAGCACATCCCTCACCACCTGAAAGCTTATAAAGAGCTGTCTGATGCCTGAGCTATTTAATCTTTCGTGTAAGAAAGGTGCTGTGCAAATGTAAAAGCCAATACACTCGTGCTTTCCACTTACAGAAATGCTCAATACTAAAAAGCCAGCTTCTGTTATCTAAGCAAAAAAAGAAAAATTCCATTTTTTCTCTCCAGTGTGGAGAAGGTTCACTGTTGTTTCTTGACAAGTTTGTTAAAAAGAAAAGCAATGTGCCTGTCCAGCTGCCTTGAGAACTTGATTTTGTGAAACGTGGGAAAGCCTATAGTTTCAATAAGCAACTAGGAAGGCATTTTGCCCATGGAAGTCAACTATAATTTGCACTTGGAAGTCAGCTAGATATTTCTGTACCTGATTCCTGGCAAGCCATTTTTCCAGCACAAGAAGCCAAAGCCATGCAGTTCTCCATGGGCTAGAATTCTGTTCCCATCTACAAAAGCAGTAAGGACATACACTGGATTATACAAGGTCATTTCCATCTCTAAAGTCCAGGAAAAGTCAGAGGTCATTTTGACTTTCACATTTATGCAAAGAAACCAGAATACTGGTACTACTTATATATCAACTAAATGATATCTGCTGTGGAACTAACTGCTTTAAAACTGAAAGATACCAAACACTACTGCCATAGTTCTGTGCTTCAAAACAATGACATTTATTTATGGTCTAAAGTTCAGTCTGTGTAGCCCTCTTTGCGCACTTCAGCAGATTTCTTTGAAATACAACCACTTGCCAAACACTGATACTTCCTATTCTGTCTAGTTCTACCAGAAAAAAAGAAACACAGTTTCAGGTCAAAGCAGCACAAGCGCTACTTCCCAGATTCTACCTGTCTCCCACAGTCACCACTAAACTAATTGCTCCTCCTCATTTCATGCTTGAGCCTACTGAACCAAAACAGTACCTTCCTTACCTTACTCCCATGGGACAAGCTACCAGAGCCTGAAGAATTGCTTCCACCTTCTCAGGACCATCCCCGTGCCACTGGCTCAGCTGGGGCACACAGGCCTGCGCAAGCTCCCAGTCTCCATGCCGTACACACTCGCAGAAGAACCCAAAGAGCTGCTCCAAAGACACTGCTTCTTCATTTCCGAAAGAGTGCATCTTCCCAGGACGGGCTGGTGACCTGGGGCAGGGTGACACACGCGAGAATGGGTGGGTAAGGGCGCCCTGGGGCACTAGCCCGATTTTCTCCTTCGCACTGACTGCACTCCCGGGGCAGGGACGGCCGGAGAGCCAAGGCCCGGCCTCAGGGGGATTCCTGCCACACGGGAGTGGTGAGGCGCCAACACGC